CTTTGTTCTGCTTTTCTAGTTCAAACTTCATTATAAATACACCTGCCACCTGTAACAATATTTGAGATTCTGTAATATTTAATGATGTTTAGAAAGTTCAGTCCTCTTACGGGAGATGCAGACTCTTACGGCTTGATTTGCAGGATTTGGGAGGAACTCTATGAACCTCTTCTTTTCCTCTCTGGGTTTTCTAGGCCACGTAACACTCAGATCGTAAGATCAACTGTGATTTGAGATATCCCTGCTAAGCCATTTATTAACTCTCGGATTTGACCCACTGCACCCCGCGGCACTGAGACATTTCAGCACAACACAACCCGTTTTGAGCTCCTGCTTCCCAAACTCTGCTGTTTGCCAGCCGAAGGCATGGAAGCAGTCTTGTCAAGGCAGGACCTTTCCCAGCGCAAGTCAGAGAATGAAAACCTGGCTTTATCAAACACAAGGGAAGTTTTACCACTGACTCTGGATTTAGCCTTTTAGTTTTGCTTTTCCTCCTCAGCTGACAGGTTCCTATGCTGTACCACTACTGCTGGTGGAGCACTCTGCAGAACTCTACTCATCCTCACTCAGAGTGTCTGGAAAAGTAGGAATATGGCCCCAAATGCCTGGATTTTAGCCCTTGACTTGGCACACACCAATCAAAAGATATTACTACATCATCTATTTGTCCTTTACGAAAAAAGGGTCTGGTTATTTCCCTAACATTTTGGGGAATTAATATAAGGAAAAATAGCTGTGCTTGTCCTGTTTGGTGTACTGGAACTGTTACAATCCATCTAAAAACACTGCCTGTGGTAAAGCAAAGCTACTTCAGGTGAGTACACAAAAGAATATTGAAAATATCAAAGACTAACAACTGATAAACATTTGCCCTCCAACCTGCATGAGACAATGAAAGTGTTTTGGCTACGTATTTGTGTATTAAAATGCTGTTCAGCAGAGGAGTATGAATATAAGCAGTAGTAATGGGAACAAGTTCCCTGCATTTTCCCTCTCACTTGTGTTTCTTCTTGATTGGATTGGGGAGAAAAGGATAAATGAATTCTGTTACTATGGTGACTGTGTTCCCAGTATCAACACAGCTCGGCTACGTGTATCTTCATCATGTTGTAACCTCTCTTTTGGGATGAAAAGCACACCTTGGAGTGTTTTTCTTGCTGTGCCCTTTCTAGACACAAGTTTTCTCCAATTCAACACTTTTTTTTTTTCCTTTATCCTCATCATACTTCAGTTAAGTACCTAATTTATCATGGAACAAAACTGACCTATTCCCAAAAAGGCAAAAAAAAGGAAATCACACCCTTTGTTCTGCTTTTCTAGTTCAAACTTCATTATAAATACACCTGCCACCTGTAACAATATTTGAGATTCTGTAATATTTAATGATGTTTAGAAAGTTCAGTCCTCTTACGGGAGATGCAGACTCTTACGGCTTGATTTGCAGGATTTGGGAGGAACTCTATGAACCTCTTCTTTTCCTCTCTGGGTTTTCTAGGCCACGTAACACTCAGATCGTAAGATCAACTGTGATTTGAGATATCCCTGCTAAGCCATTTATTAACTCTCGGATTTGACAGCCTCATTGATAACCTTCACAGATTCCATGTGGACAAGCAGCAGTAAGTAGCCTATTCCTGCTCCACATTCAAAGGAGTTTTATGCCCATTTGTTACCAAATGCAGAGCTGGACACCCTCCTTTCATGGGCTCTTCTGAGGCTGTAGGCAGTCTGTAATATGGGAAGCTGACAGCACGTCACACTTTGGCAGCTGTTAGGCGTATGCACTCTGCTAAAGAAATAACTAAGTACTGAGGTAGTTATACCTAGCTGCTTTCCATACCTCCTTATTTATAGTTAATATAATTCCTAATATAGCAAAAGGCAGATTTTAGTTTAGCTAGCTCTGAACTATATTGTCCATTCTACTGCTTTCTCATTGTCATTACTGGCCTTAAATACTCAACTTGTGGATGTAAACATTCAGTCTTCTGTTTTTGCTTCAAATCACGATCTGCACCATCTGGAAAGCACCACACATTCCAACCACCACTATGGTATTGCATTACCAATCGCAGGATTAGTGTTAGAATTTTAATATATCCCTGTATGAGGACAGGCTGAGAGAGTTGGGGTTGTTCAGCCTGGAGGAGAGAAGGCTCCAAGGAGACCTTAGAGCGAGCGGCCTTCCAGTACTTAAAGGGAACTTACAGGAAAGGGAGGGAGGGACTCTTTATCAGGGAGTGTAGCAATAGGACAAGGGGTATCGATTTTAAGCTGGAAGAGGGTAGATTTAGATTAGATATTAGGAAGAAATTTTTCACTTTGAGGTTGGTGAGGCACTGGAACAGGCTGCCCAGAGAAGCTGTGGATGCCCCATCCCTGGAAGTGTTCAAGGCCAGGTTGGATGGGGCTCTGAGTAACCTGGTCTAGTGGGAGGTGTCCCTGCCCATGGCAGGGGGTTGGAACTGAATGATCTTTAAGGTCCCTTCCAACTCAAACCATTCTATGACTGTCTAAAATATAGGTGGTTGACTAGCATATTATCTGTATTTGTCTTTAGCTCTTGACTGTAAACCACATTGCATCGCTACTGCACTAAATACCAGGAAAAATTGTTCTTCTCTTACTGTCACTTCCAGGAATATTGACAGTAAAATGCCATGCACTATAAGCATCAATAAAGACTCTACTGCTGGGGTATGTATTCACTGTCTGCAAAATAAGAGAAAAATTTGTCAACTGAAACCTTACTTTGGGCAAATTGCAGTTTTCTCCTTCAAACTATTTCTTGTAAATTTTTGCCACAAACGTAAACCTGATTTTAACATATGTCAGTATCAAAGGAAGTTGTAGGTGCCAGTAACTGTCTCTAGTTTTCACAAGCTTATCAGAACACAGTAATCAATCCTCACATCCTACTTAAATATAGAAAAGAGATAAAGAGATGGGATTAGGAAGTAATTACACTCCCCTTACTAATTAAAATTATCAACAGTGAATATTGAGTTAAATAATGGTGACCGCAGTATTAGTTTTCACGAGTTTATTTAAAACAGTCATTCAACTATACTTGTTTACAAGTAACCATGACACAATTTATGGAGGAAACTAGACAAACAACCTACCAAAAGGAACACCGGTACTTCACAGCGCGGGCATATTAAGAGGCCGGATACGGTAACCTGTTGCTGTTGAACACTTCAAAAACTGTTCTTTTACTGAGGCGGGAAAGGCAACAGCTGAGAGAGCGATGCCGTCGTGGAAAGGGCTGCAGCTCCCTCCCTTCCCCCCCGCCCCCCGTAACGCCGGCCCACAGGTCCCGGGGCGGGCTGGAGGGGGCCCCCCCGCCTCAGGGCCGCTCGGGAAGGGGCGCAGCGACAATCGGGGCCGGGGCCGGGGCCCCGCCTGCCGCGGGCACGAGCTCCCACCGTTCCTCACCGAGATTTTGGGGAATCCCCGGGTT